ATAATAATAATAATAATAATAATATCTTATCAGTATTATTGTTGTTTTTTTGTTTTTTTTTACAGGAACACTGAATGACCAGAAAAAGCACCAGCACCAGTCCTAAGTTCATGGTTACCAAGTTTTAATTCTAATTACTAAACTTCTATTATTAAATAATACTTGATTATCATATTATAATGCTTGACTGATATTAATTTAAAAAGTTGTACCATTTTACAAACATTATATATGTTTGTAAAATGGCATAACTTTATTTATATATATATAAAAAAAATTTTACTAGCCAATGGCGATTCAATTGGCAAGGTGTCCGTAGAGTGTTGAGACTACACATCCACTGACATACTGACCATCAGCTAGGGGGAGCTGTGCTCTAAAATGTGTCTGTAATATCTCTGTATAGGTTTGAGGTAGCAAGGCGGCACACAAAGAAACTCTAATCAGGGTCTGAAGCATCCTATGTTCAGAAAGCACTTCTTAATAACCTTATTATGAACGGATATGGCATGAACAGGATGTGAAGTGGTGTAAAAAAAGACCATGTAAAATTAAATTACGGTGGACAACATCAGAAGTGAGTGGCTTTATAGCTTGGTTTTTGTATTTGAGTTTGTTATTGCTTTTAGACAACAGTGGCTATGGCAATATGACAAAAGACAGCAACATTAATTAAATATTTAGAAAAAAATTCAGTATTTTTTTTTCTTTTTGAACACAGGTCATCTAATAGATTTTAGTTTCAGAATATGCATTTTATAATGAGTTTTAAAATGTTTTCATCTTTACCCTGTGATATTCAAACTGAGAGGCTGAATGTTACAGTGATTTTACCATGGTAAAGCATGTGAAAATAAGCTTTAATAAAAAGCCTTTATGTATAATGCATTATAAAGGGTTATTAAAGGGTATAATGCATTATACTTATTCATAATGTGCATTGTAATACATTATATCTTGTAAATATTTATAACTGAATTTAAAACGCATAGTGTAAAAATAAATTGATAAGTGTTATAATGTATTAACTGTAGTTACAATTATTTATGAGTTTTACACTGCATTATAAGGTGCATTAAAAGGCATAATTAATGCATTAAAACTACTTTCATAATGCATTACTGCATTAATAATAGTAAAACTCATTGTAATGCATTAGTTCATTGCTTTTAAAAAAATGACATCAATTGCAATATAATTAAAGAAACCAACATGCAATTATAGATACATACATATATATTCTGCCAAGGATTATATAATAATATAATATACAATTTAGTAAATAAAATAAAAAAACTAAAAATAAATAAATCTACAACACAGCTCATCCAATCAAATTTTAAAGTAATGCCGAGTTCACACTGCATGATTTTCGCCCTGATTTTCACTCGCCGACAGGTTTTGCGAAATTGCCGACAAATGCCGGAAATCGGAGGCAAATCGGTGCTCGTTCACGCGAGTGACAATCACACAGTGTGAATTATCAAAGACGCGATTTGAGAGAATCACAGACGCGTCGCAGACAACTGTGAAATATTTGGCATGCTAAATATGTGGACCTGTCGGCGATTCAAAATCCTGCTGTGTGAAATGAGTTCTGACTGAAACATACATCGGCGATGACCTTAAGTACTTTATTCTATAATGGTTTTAATCTTCATCCTGAAGTATTCAAACATGCATGATATTTTCCAGGAATTTAAAAAAAAACCTGAATAATGAATCGTTTGTAGGGAATGTGTGCTTCCAGGTAGACGGGGAATTGTGCATCCTAGAGTAATGCAGCTAATACAGGTGTGCATTATTTTAAAACACACCATTATTTTCGACAATTCTGGAACTCTAAAAACAGATGTAGCTTATAGGTACATATATTAATTATGAATTTGGTAGAACTTGATAGTAGTTGGGTGTGTTAAACATCCTCTAACTGAAACTCTCTAACTTAACTGTTACGTTACTCCACAAACATTTACGTAATACAAAGAGAGGAAGTTTCTCTGCAGATTACAAAATCTGTTTCAGTGATCTGCGAGCGTGGGGAAGCGCTCATCTAAGATTTCTGCTGAGGTGAAATCCTTCAGTTAGATGAGAAATAACCAAGTGCACAGCTATCAACCAGGACCATTTGAGGCAAGAACAATTACATTCAACTGCAAGCAATGGGAAACAAGATCAACAGCGTAAGGAACTGAAAAGGAACTCCCCAGACCACAACACCCTTCCTAATTCATGACTGATAATGTGAATAGAGTTTAGCCACCATTCAATGCTGCGTCAGCAAACAGAGGATGTTAAAACGGTCAAGCAACAAACCCTCTGACCCTCTTAAAAGAATGGAAGGGGACTTGAAAACAAAGTGAACAAGCCTTGTCTATCAAACAGTTGTGAAAGCTTACTATCTGATGAAACATTTCAAGCAAGAATGCAACAGAACGAAATCATGCAAATGTTCAAACATACACATTTCCATACATCCAGACTGAATCGATAATAAGAAACTAAATTGCAACTAATATGGCACATTGTATGAAATAAAAGGTTTCAGTTTTGTATTTGTGAGCTAATGTTTGTCCAATTGTCCCACAACCCTCTATTTGACCCCAAACCCATAATCATTCATTCAAGCCATACTTTTAAGTAGACATGTCTCTCTGATGTATCTACTGTTTGTTGTTTTAAGGGGAATGACCCATTACGGTGTTGAGGGAAAGCTGTATCCGACTGCAAAAATTGAGCTTTTGTTCTGAAGTGAAACTTTATCGATCGCCACTTAACACGTTAAAATGGAATGAGTCGCCAGGACTTCACTTTTCCCACCATTGTTTGACAGGAAACGTGGCCTATACTCACTTAGCTGCAAACTTGACCATCTGCTTGCTTGCACGATCTCCCACGGCGAGCAGGGCCTGCACGGTAAACTGCTGGTGACGCAGGACCAAGAAGCACTGTTTCCCTAGAGAAGAAAACAACCTGTCAGAACACATACCACAGCATACCTTACAAAGACGGGTACTTACTGCCCAAGACAAAAAGCACAATAATATAACTTAACATACACTAAAATTCAAAAGTTTGGGGGCAGTAATATTTTTAAAGAAATTAATAATTTAATAAACAATAATCAATTCATAATCAATTAATAATAATAATCAATTCAGCAAAGATGCATTATTCTGATCAAAAGTGACTGCAATAATGATACAAAAAAAATCTGTATTTATTAAATGCAGTCATTTTGATCTTTGTTCATTAAAGAATTCTAAAAAAAAATGTATCACCATTTTTACAAAAACATTAAGCAGCACAGCCATTTTCAACTGTGATAGTAAGAAATGTTTCTTGTGCACTGAATCAGCATATTAGAATAATTTCTGAAGAATTGTGACACTAAAGACTGGAGTAATGACTGCTGAAAATTCAGCTTTGACATCACAGGAATAAATGACATATTCAAATATATTAAAATAGAACTTATTTTAAACTGTAATATTTTACAATGTTACTGGATATATTGTAATAAATGCAGCATTGGTGAACATATGAGACTTCTTTCAAAAACACAAAATAAAATCTTACCAACCTCAAACTTTTAAATATGTAATAGAATAGAATGAAGTAGTAGAATAAATAGTACAAGTTATGGATTGTTCAAAGTCTGAGAACAATAACAGCACCACTAATACAATAAAAATGTATCATAATAATAATAATGTGCCTACTTTCATGACTGATATTAATGCTTGACTTTCAGATATTTAAAAAGTTGTACCATTTTACAAACATTATATATGTTTGTAAAATGGCATAACTTTATTTATATATATATAAAAAAAATTTTACTAGCCAATGGCGATTCAATTGGCAAGGTGTCCGTAGAGTGTTGAGACTACACATCCACTGACATACTGACCATCAGCTAGGGGGAGCTGTGCTCTAAAATGTGTCTGTAATATCTCTGTATAGGTTTGAGGTAGCAAGGCGGCACACAAAGAAACTCTAATCAGGGTCTGAAGCATCCTATGTTCAGAAAGCACTTCTTAATAACCTTATTATGAACGGATATGGCATGAACAGGATGTGAAGTGGTGTAAAAAAAGACCATGTAAAATTAAATTACGGTGGACAACATCAGAAGTGAGTGGCTTTATAGCTTGGTTTTTGTATTTGAGTTTGTTATTGCTTTTAGACAACAGTGGCTATGGCAATATGACAAAAGACAGCAACATTAATTAAATATTTAGAAAAAAATTCAGTATTTTTTTTTCTTTTTGAACACAGGTCATCTAATAGATTTTAGTTTCAGAATATGCATTTTATAATGAGTTTTAAAATGTTTTCATCTTTACCCTGTGATATTCAAACTGAGAGGCTGAATGTTACAGTGATTTTACCATGGTAAAGCATGTGAAAATAAGCTTTAATAAAAAGCCTTTATGTATAATGCATTATAAAGGGTTATTAAAGGGTATAATGCATTATACTTATTCATAATGTGCATTGTAATACATTATATCTTGTAAATATTTATAACTGAATTTAAAACGCATAGTGTAAAAATAAATTGATAAGTGTTATAATGTATTAACTGTAGTTACAATTATTTATGAGTTTTACACTGCATTATAAGGTGCATTAAAAGGCATAATTAATGCATTAAAACTACTTTCATAATGCATTACTGCATTAATAATAGTAAAACTCATTGTAATGCATTAGTTCATTGCTTTTAAAAAAATGACATCAATTGCAATATAATTAAAGAAACCAACATGCAATTATAGATACATACATATATATTCTGCCAAGGATTATATAATAATATAATATACAATTTAGTAAATAAAATAAAAAAACTAAAAATAAATAAATCTACAACACAGCTCATCCAATCAAATTTTAAAGTAATGCCGAGTTCACACTGCATGATTTTCGCCCTGATTTTCACTCGCCGACAGGTTTTGCGAAATTGCCGACAAATGCCGGAAATCGGAGGCAAATCGGTGCTCGTTCACGCGAGTGACAATCACACAGTGTGAATTATCAAAGACGCGATTTGAGAGAATCACAGACGCGTCGCAGACAACTGTGAAATATTTGGCATGCTAAATATGTGGACCTGTCGGCGATTCAAAATCCTGCTGTGTGAAATGAGTTCTGACTGAAACATACATCGGCGATGACCTTAAGTACTTTATTCTATAATGGTTTTAATCTTCATCCTGAAGTATTCAAACATGCATGATATTTTCCAGGAATTTAAAAAAAAACCTGAATAATGAATCGTTTGTAGGGAATGTGTGCTTCCAGGTAGACGGGGAATTGTGCATCCTAGAGTAATGCAGCTAATACAGGTGTGCATTATTTTAAAACACACCATTATTTTCGACAATTCTGGAACTCTAAAAACAGATGTAGCTTATAGGTACATATATTAATTATGAATTTGGTAGAACTTGATAGTAGTTGGGTGTGTTAAACATCCTCTAACTGAAACTCTCTAACTTAACTGTTACGTTACTCCACAAACATTTACGTAATACAAAGAGAGGAAGTTTCTCTGCAGATTACAAAATCTGTTTCAGTGATCTGCGAGCGTGGGGAAGCGCTCATCTAAGATTTCTGCTGAGGTGAAATCCTTCAGTTAGATGAGAAATAACCAAGTGCACAGCTATCAACCAGGACCATTTGAGGCAAGAACAATTACATTCAACTGCAAGCAATGGGAAACAAGATCAACAGCGTAAGGAACTGAAAAGGAACTCCCCAGACCACAACACCCTTCCTAATTCATGACTGATAATGTGAATAGAGTTTAGCCACCATTCAATGCTGCGTCAGCAAACAGAGGATGTTAAAACGGTCAAGCAACAAACCCTCTGACCCTCTTAAAAGAATGGAAGGGGACTTGAAAACAAAGTGAACAAGCCTTGTCTATCAAACAGTTGTGAAAGCTTACTATCTGATGAAACATTTCAAGCAAGAATGCAACAGAACGAAATCATGCAAATGTTCAAACATACACATTTCCATACATCCAGACTGAATCGATAATAAGAAACTAAATTGCAACTAATATGGCACATTGTATGAAATAAAAGGTTTCAGTTTTGTATTTGTGAGCTAATGTTTGTCCAATTGTCCCACAACCCTCTATTTGACCCCAAACCCATAATCATTCATTCAAGCCATACTTTTAAGTAGACATGTCTCTCTGATGTATCTACTGTTTGTTGTTTTAAGGGGAATGACCCATTACGGTGTTGAGGGAAAGCTGTATCCGACTGCAAAAATTGAGCTTTTGTTCTGAAGTGAAACTTTATCGATCGCCACTTAACACGTTAAAATGGAATGAGTCGCCAGGACTTCACTTTTCCCACCATTGTTTGACAGGAAACGTGGCCTATACTCACTTAGCTGCAAACTTGACCATCTGCTTGCTTGCACGATCTCCCACGGCGAGCAGGGCCTGCACGGTAAACTGCTGGTGACGCAGGACCAAGAAGCACTGTTTCCCTAGAGAAGAAAACAACCTGTCAGAACACATACCACAGCATACCTTACAAAGACGGGTACTTACTGCCCAAGACAAAAAGCACAATAATATAACTTAACATACACTAAAATTCAAAAGTTTGGGGGCAGTAATATTTTTAAAGAAATTAATAATTTAATAAACAATAATCAATTCATAATCAATTAATAATAATAATCAATTCAGCAAAGATGCATTATTCTGATCAAAAGTGACTGCAATAATGATACAAAAAAAATCTGTATTTATTAAATGCAGTCATTTTGATCTTTGTTCATTAAAGAATTCTAAAAAAAAATGTATCACCATTTTTACAAAAACATTAAGCAGCACAGCCATTTTCAACTGTGATAGTAAGAAATGTTTCTTGTGCACTGAATCAGCATATTAGAATAATTTCTGAAGAATTGTGACACTAAAGACTGGAGTAATGACTGCTGAAAATTCAGCTTTGACATCACAGGAATAAATGACATATTCAAATATATTAAAATAGAACTTATTTTAAACTGTAATATTTTACAATGTTACTGGATATATTGTAATAAATGCAGCATTGGTGAAAATATGAGACTTCTTTCAAAAACACAAAATAAAATCTTACCAACCTCAAATCAGCCATTTTCAACTGTGATAGTAAGAAATGTTTCTTGTGCACTGAATCAGCATATTAGAATAATTTCTGAAGAATTGTGACACTAAAGACTGGAGTAATGACTGCTGAAAATTCAGCTTTGACATCACAGGAATAAATGACATATTCAAATATATTAAAATAGAACTTATTTTAAACTGTAATATTTTACAATGTTACTGGATATATTGTAATAAATGCAGCATTGGTGAAAATATGAGACTTCTTTCAAAAACACAAAATAAAATCTTACCAACCTCAAATTTTTAAATATGTAATAGAATAGAATGAAGTAGTAGAATAAATAGTACAAGTTATGGATTGTTCAAAGTCTGAGAACAATAACAGCACCACTAATACAATAAAAATGTATCATAATAATAATAATGTGCCTACTTTCACAACCAAATAGATCCCAATCTGAAATATATCACATTATAATATGCATTGTAAATGCCGTTTCATGTTATCTTTAGAGAAACTAACCAATTCATAATAGCTGGTTTCTGATTACAAAACCTAATTATTACATTTTAAAATAGGGAAACTTGTAATCTTTAACCTATTACATTTCCAAAGTAACCTTTACAACACTGCCAATTCATAATATATGGTTTCTGATCACAAAACCAGAACTAAAAGAATGAGTGAATCAACAATATATTTTAACCAATTACTAAAGACATTTACTTATTTAAATCTCTAACAAACTAGGATTTAGATTTGACATCAAAGTAGAGCATACTTGTCCAACTCTTGTCAGAACAGTTAAATAAAAAAGCACCAAATTTACTGGTACCAATCAGCTATCAACAGCCTGGAAGTTTCTTTGAAAGACACAATTCGTGTAGTTTTGACTTGTCACCAAATTGCTAATCAGACACCTTGAGAGTGAACAAACTCCGATTTGTGTAAACCTGACACAGATCGGGTCAAGATCAGAGACCAACCCAGACTCTTTGAAGTCCCCCTCAGTGTTCAGAGACTGTCAGACAGACAGCTGAGTGGTAGTTAAAAACAGACCCTTCATCGCAGAAGAGAGAGAGAGAGAGAGAGTCTCAGAGAAAAGACATCAAAGACGACAGGCCTCCCCCCTTGTACACAGATCTCCACAAAGACATTCACTCGGATTACAAAGCCACCGGGAGGAGGGCTAATAAATATGAAACATAACAAGCCCCATCTGAAAGATGACCATCACGTGAATTCTTCTCCGTTTTGACAAATACAGTGTCACCCTGCCTCCGTTGACTCACAAATATGACTTTATTATGAGGCAGCAGAGACGGGGCGGTCCCACTCAGCCCCAGTTAAAGTGCTCAGGGCATTTGGCTGATCCGGAATCCACCCACATGAAAGCTTCGTCTATCTCTGCCCGAGAGGAATGCTGGTGGGAGACGACTTTGTTCTGTAGCAGCAAAGCTTAAAAACTCGCAGCCGGACAGTCGGGAGTAATGTCACCCTAATTCCTCATCCGAGATTTATCTCGTAGAGTTATTCAAGACTATTATGTGTGACAGCGAGGGGAGGAACATCAGGGAGAGCTAAAGGGGATGCCAGGGAGATCCCGACAGCATTAGATTATCTCTTAAACTCAAAGACATTCCTAATTATCATTCTACAGCAGATTTTGCACTGGGAAACCTGTCTATATTCATCCTGTGGGAGCGAGATACCCTCCTAAATCTCCACTTAAAAACTGAGAAGGACACTGACCCAGTTTCTGCTGGGATTGGACCATAGGACAGATCCCATAGCGATCCATGGCAAAATCCTGGGAGGAGAAAAGAAGAAGATAAGGATGGTAATGAATTTTAAAGGAACGGTTCAGCAAAAAAAAAAAAATCTGTTAATTCTTTCATCATTTATTCACCCTTATGTTATTTAAAACATTACTTTCTTCTGTGTAACACCAAAGGAGAATGTTTGAATGCAAAACCACCACAAAATCATCATAAAAGAAGTCCATTTGAGAGATATTTAACAAGTTTTTTCACCCTTATGTTATTTAAAACATTACTTTCTTCTGTGTAACACCAAAGGAGAATGTTTGAATGGGTACTTAAACCTTCAAGAACAATGCAAAACCACCACAAAATCATCATAAAAGAAGTCCATTTGAGAGATATTTAACAAGTTTAAAAAAAAAAACTAAATACATTAATTCGTTGAAAATTCAGCAAGTTGTTTATCACTGATAATCATCCATTCCAGTAAGCTGTTAATTTGAGAACCTTGTGATTGGATCATGGTTCATCAGTGGAGTTAAGCAAATCTTTCAGATTGTTTTGTGAACTAGATCAACCAATTCATTGATAAATATTAAACTCAAATGAAAAATTTGTTCTTGAAACAGACATTGCCTGGGTTATGTCAAGACATTCAGTGAATGATATCTTGATTATGGTCCATTTACTTGTATCCTTTACTTGTGTAAAAAAAAAATAAAAAATCCAGTCCCCATTCACTGTAACTGCAAGGAAATTAAAAATGCAATGTGACCAGTAAATTAAAAAAAGAAAAAAATCTTTCCAAACTATATATTCATAATTTATTTGGAACACTACGTACATAAAATAATTTTTATTTCTTTTTGTATTTCTTTATCCCTTTATATGGCTAATAACAGACAGAAAATGTGAATTTGGACAGTGAACAGTAAATACTTACATCCTCTTCAGCTTCCTGCTGCTCTGAGGCCTGAATCAAAGAGAGTAACTGATTTCAATAAAACTTCAACAGTAGAGGGACAGACCCTCCGTACGAGCTAACATAAACATTAAACACATACTGATTATTCTGGAGAAAGGCAAGCACTGCAAGTTCACTTTAAAATCTTACCAAAATGCAATGATACAAATTCAAACACTTACTGATGTCTGCAAGTACATTAGAGTGCTAAAATGGAAACTAAAATGACTTTTCTAGGTAAAACAGAATTGGATTCTTTGTAAATTACTCAAATCAATGTCAATTTAAGTAAGAATGACTTCATACATTTGTTCTGCTCATGTCTCTTGTCTCTGAATCACTCACTTGACAAAATGTTGCACAAATGTCCAGCAGACAAAAACAAAACAGAAAAAACTTAAGACTTTAAGTAAAATATTTGAACATGGATATTATTGGATTGTTTTCATTATTCACTTTATTATTATAGTATATTGTTTTTATTACTATTTTATAATTTTTATATATAAATTTATATATATAATAATAATAATAATAATATATTATGACTTTTCCAGGTAGAGTATGCTTTTCACAAACCTTCTGCAAATTACTGTACGTTTTTGTTTTGTTTTTCATTCTTTGATAAAATCTATTTAAAAAAAATAATTTTAAAAAAGTCAGTACAGTATTGAACAAACCTCACAGCCCAAATTTCACTCACTTCTAATAAAATAAGACATTAAGCAAACAAAATAAGCACACAATGCTCATTTTGACTGTTTAAAATATTGGGGAAATATTTTCTGGATGCACAAATGTCACTTTGTTCAGGCACATACACAGATTTGTAATCACAGGAATTGTAAAACAATAAAAAAAAAAAAACAGACACTAGCTTATTTCCTCTATATAATGATATGACAGGAAACCAGCTTACTTAGAAAAAAATCTCTCATTTAGATATTGTTTGTCTTAGCGATCACAAAAATGAAATCAATTACTCTGAAATGACTTTCCTTTTTGGCATTAACACCTGAGTCCATTGCTTCATTAGTTCAGACACTTGGCTAACCAACTCCATTAACCAAGTGAGTCTAACATTTGCCAAGACTACCACCCATCCATCATTAGTTAATACGGCAGAGATTAATTACCAAGCAGTGCAACAGTTATTTAAAACAAACACAATTACACAGAAACCCCAACAAAATGTAAACTGATCACAGGGCAGAGGTTAAAGGAAATGACATCCATGATCTCCATTACCATTTTAAACTCTCATTATATAACACATGGTTTCCGGTTAACAGGACTGACCAACCGCTTTAAATACACCCATTACAAATCACTCATTTGCTAAATTTAAATTCTGTCCTCTCGCTCTAAGGATATGAATGGCACCATTTAATCTGAAACCACAAGAGTAACAGGTGGTCAACAACATGAGCAGAACAAACTCATGCTCCACCTCAAGACATTCAACAGAATTTACTATTACACTAATTACTCCAAACAACAGAACAAACAGAGAAACTGTGACTCCACTGCAAAGTCTTGCCTTTTATCCAACACTGATCTACAAAGAACCTCCAAAAACAGCAGAATCTGAGCAGGCAACCATATGGCAGCCCTCAGGCAACACAGGATCAAGTGCCTGTACACAGAGCTACAGAAGTTTAAACACAATGGATCGGTGAATGTCTTCCCCAGCACTACCACTGCCAAGACAACAACGGTCCAGCCGCGGGCACCGCTGAGGCCTCAACCGTGCCAAAGTGGGCAATAAACAACTCCACTCCCCCCTCTGCATTATGCATTAGCACGTAACGGCAGCGGAGGACATAAAGGGCCACAGTGAAGATATGCACAGCATGGAACACTTTTCAAGGGAATTCACGGATGACGGTCCCCAAAGCATCGCTGCAATTTCTGCTCACAGGAAATTGGAAGCACTGGGGCTGATAGTAAAGAATGAGAAGGCTGCCGATAATTAAAGGCCTGTGCCAGATTCGAGGTTATGTATTTACATAGAAACACAAGGCTCGGAGCAGAGCAGGGCTATAAAAATAAGGGTGGAGCATTCTGATGCCCTCCACTCCACCCCAGAACGCAGCTGTTGACTCATCAAATGATGGTTTATATATTAAACCATAGACATTATTGTTCACATAACACTGCTTTGGGCACAGCATAGCATTATTATATAAATAATCCTTTTAACAATTCGTCTGCTAATAACTAACATGAAAAAAATCAATGTAATTAATTTCTGAGATCAAAACAAATCTTTCTTACTTTCACTTTGTGTTTGAAATGTTACTTTCACTTTGGTTTTTGAAAAGTAAAAGTAGGTCAAGGTGTTTACTTATTGGAAATTCTACTATTAAAATAACTATTATTACAATGGCCTCTTTTATCTGATCCAGGGTTCCCAAACCTATTGATGAATTCATTTTCATGACTTTATAGATTATTTTCCACATCAATTATTGGAAATGCTTTTCTTTTGAACTTTCTATTTATCATAGAATCCTGAAAAATGTATCACGGGTTCCACAAAAAAAATTATTAAGCAGCAGAAATGTTTTCAACATTCATAATCACAATAATTGTTTCTTGAGCAGCAAATCATTATCATCAAACTGTATCTTTCATTACGCCATTAACAGACATTACCTTGATTATTAAAAACTGCTAACTATCTGCAACTAGTACATCATAAACACTGCTTATCCATATCAAATGTTTTCTTTTACAACATAAAACTCCTCCACACTAACTTTGTTTATTAACTGTATTGCATTTTAAACGTTTCCACGATAAGATTTTTTCTCTTCTATGTCAGTAAATTGATTTGATTCCAAACGAAGTTAAGTCAAGATAATTCACAAATTAAAGTTAAAACTGTTGCAAAAGTTATTTAGCATTTCTGATCACTTGTTTACCTCCAAGTGTATAAAGACACTGTTCTGCTGTCATAGTTAACGATCTCTGTAATTACACAGAGAGTAAAGTACCGAAAAAAGGTACTGTTGGGTACCAGCACTGAAATTCAGGTACCGATACTGGTACCGTACCGGTTAAAATGTGAAAAGTACCCAACCCTATATGTAATACTCAGAAACATTTTTTTTTTTAAATTTTAATTTCATTTAATTTACTAGCCTATTATTAAATTACATGACATTGGCCATTCTGCTCTATATAAGAACTGGCAATTTTGCTGTCATAGTTAACGATCTCTAAACTGCTGATGCAATCATCTGCAACTCTATTAGATTCAGCTAGCAGCAAGGCAAGCTAATGAATGCCCTGACCAAAAAATATTACACATCCGCAGAAAACAACGAGATTTCT